CAAGTCCCCTTGACGTTGGCGATTAACATGGGGAAACTGTCTCTGTCTCGAGCTATTCTAAATAGTTGCTCAGCTTTATTTATTCCTGTCCACTCCCTGATATTCTTCAATCAAGAGGCATGCTTTCTACCAATACCTCTGCGTCCTTCAATTTTACCCATCATAATAAGTTGAAGAATATTATATCGGTCACCCCTTACTACGTGTCCAAAATAGGTCATCTTTCTACATTTGATGTTATCAAGCAGCTCGCGAGCAGCATTTGCTCTCCCAAGGACTGCCACATTTGTCAGCATAGCCGTCCATGGAATTTTTAGTATACGTCTGTGCAGCCACATTTCGCCTCCAGACGATTAATGATGGATATTTTTAATGTCCATGCTTCGAGACCGTATAAGAGGACTGACCAAATGTAGCATTTAACCATGCGCTTTCAAAGTTGAAGTTGCAGGTTATCATTACAGAAGAATGACCTCATTTTTAAAAATGTCGTGCGGGCTATCTCGGTTCTACATTTTATCTCTTGATCTGGATCTAGTTGTTCAGTAATATGGCAACCAAGATATTTAAAACTGGACACTCTTTGAATTATATGACCATCAACATATAATCGTGCATCTTGATGTACTAAACGGCTAAACACCATGTGTTTTGTTTTTGCACAGTTTATGTTTAGGCCAAACTCTCTTCCCACTGTATCAATGGCATTTAAAAGGCATTGTAATCCATTCACGTCATCACTTAAAATAACTGTATCGTCTGCATTGTATTTATCAGAATTCCATTAACTTTCACGCCCCATTCCAAATTATGGCGCGCTTCTTTAAATAATCTATCTGAATATAAATTAAATAACAGTGGGGATAGTATACAACCCTGTCTGACACCTTTTTGTATTTTACATATATCTGTTGATTTTAATTATTACTTTTAACTTTTTAGGGATTCTGAAGGACGTGCCATTTCTCAACAAAATCTCGAACTCTTTCCCAGCCAAGGCAAGGCTTGTGTGATGCGATTTAATAAACTTAGAGATTTTGTAGATCTCTATATGAACAACGTCCCCAAACCTATGAAGGCAGATCCGTTTTATCTTAGCAAAGTTTTTATTTCCGAACACATAGAAGTAGCTGAACCATGGTACAATTTTAAAGGCAAGTTTCTGTAATTTTCATTTTGATAGAAAAAAAAAACTTAAAAACATACATGCTGACATACAGACAATTGTCAAACAATTTTGAAATTTAAAAAATACAAAGAATTTTTCATCTGATTTTCATCTAGTTTTCTTCTAGGTCTAGATTTCATCTTGTTTTTTACTAGTTATGTCAGATTTGATAGCGTTATTTTGTTATTGCTACTTTTGAACTAATAATTTATTTAATTTTTTTTAATTTTATTAACATAAAAACACACAGTTGTTAAAAACACTATAAATGTTATTAAGTATAGTAAATATTTAATTGCCACTTCCACTAAGGGGAAAATTTACTCATCCCAGATAACTACGGTATCAAAAAGATTGAGCTCTGATAGGGCTCTTTCCGTGTTATCGAGCCCTAACTGACTTGGTATGCTGGAGTATTTTCCAAAAATATAAGTATGTTTTTATTGTTCATTGATTTTAGGTATACTACAGGATATGTGGATTTTAAGAGGCAATTTTAGTCAAAGCGATAGAAAGTTTGATCTAATATCAAGAAATTTTCAAAGCCCTGCTATTTGCTTTGCGTTATTAACAACGATAAAATCAATATCCCTTAAAGATTTTCTTAAAGAAACCATTGATGAGGTAAAAAATTATAAAATTTTATTTTACTTATTTACTTTGTTCATAACCCTATTATTGGGGTGAGATGATACTTTTCGCTATCCTTTTTTTTTTTTCGACAATGTCAATCTCAATTCGTATATTACACCAAAACAACATTCGTATAATAAAAAATTACCCTAGTGCAATGATAGAGTCAAGTCACAATTCTGTCGCAGCATAAAAACAAGTTTGACTAAAATAAACTTTAAAAAAAAAGTTATAAGGAAATCGAACATGGAAATGCTAAACGACGAAATAAAAATTCTGAAATACTCAATGGAGAAGAAAGTAACGAACCCCGACATATCAAAAAAGAAAATACCATGGTTTAGAGATGAAGTGGTGAAGACAAAATGTGAAGAAAAGGAAAGAGCTTTTTTACAATACCGAACACAACAAATACAATAGGCATTAAACCATTACAAATTAATCAGAAATAAAACGAATAGTTTAATTAGACAAATAAAAACGGAACACTGACAGACCTTCTCAAAACAGATGGAACACGGCTTCTACGGAACACAACAAGAAATATGGAGAATGATCAGAGGACAAAAAAGGGTTGAACGAACTAATAGAAACGAAATACATTCAGAAGAAAACGTAGACAGACTTCGTTCTATCCTTATTTGCTAAAGGTGACGATAATGAAAAATCAACACCAGAAGTGACGACAAACTAAGAAATAAACATTGACGAAATAAAAAAATCACCAGGAGAACTAGAGAACCAAGTACGAGAACCAGATCTGACCAAACAATTATTAAAACTAATCCAAAACATAATAGTACAAAACTGAGTACCACAAGAATGGAGATCAAGTATCCTAATACCTCTCTTTAAAAAGGGAGCCAAATGGAATCCAGAAAATTACAGAAGAATTAATTTATTATTAAACACAACATTGCAATTAATAACCAAAGTGAAATAATCTATCTAATTAGCCTTCTTCGGTCCATCTTTGGACATAGGCCTCCCCAATCCTTTTCCATTCTTCTCTGTCTGTCGCAACAGTCATCCATCTAGAGCCCACGTGCTTCTTGATATCATCTGCCCATCTCATTTGGGGCCTTCCTCTGCTTCGTTTATATTCCCACGGTCTCCAACTTATAAGAATTTTGTTCCATCGGTCTTCTTTTTGTCTTATATTGTGTCCGGCAAATCTCCATTTCAATTTTGCAACTTCTTGTCTAACATCCCTCACTTTTGTTTTCTCTCTTATCCACTCGTTTCTCTTCTTATCCATTAGTCTTATGTGCAACATTTGTCTTTCCATTGCTCTTTGGGTTTTTATGATTTTGTCCATGTTTGCTTTTGTAAATGTCCACGTTTGGGAGCCATACGTAAGAACAGGGAGTACGCATTGATTATATACTTTGGTCTTAAGATGCTGTGGATATCTTTTGTTTTTAAGAATGTAGCTTAGTTTGCCAAATGCCGCCCATGCCAGTCTAACTCGTCTCTTGATCTCTGCTGTTTGGTTCTCTTTGTTAAGTTTTATAGTTTGACCAAGATATATATAATCCTTAACTTGTTCTATTTCATCTTGTCCGATTCTCATTGTGATGTCTTCATCTGTATTTGTTATAGTTTTGGTCTTGCTGTAATTCATATTAAGGCCTATCTTTCCAGCTTCTACGTCCAGTTCTTTCATCATTTCAAATAATTCATCTTTTTTATCGGTTATCAATACGATGTCATCAGCGTACCTTAGATGGTTCAAGCGTTGTCCACAAATTTTTATACCTTTTTTTTCCCATTCTAATCTTTTAAAAGTATCTTCAAGAGCCTGATTGAAAAGTTTCGGTGATATTGTATCACCCTGTCTCACGCCTCTACTTATTTGTAATGATTTTGTTCCTTCATATACTTTAATTTTTGTTTTGGCTTCCTTATATATATATTGGTTATTAGTTCCGTATATCTGTGGTCAATTCGGCTGTTAATCAAAGAACTTTTCACTGCCCAATGTTCGACACTGTCGAAAGCCTTTTCGAAATCTATGAACGCCATATATAGAGGAATGTGGTATTCATTTGCTCGTTCTATAAGTATTTTCATACTTAGTAAATGGTCACTTGTGCTGAATCCCTTTCTAAAACCAGCTTGTTCTTTCGACTGGTATCCATCGAATTTTGTCGTCAATCTATTGGTTAAAATTTTTGTTAGGAGTTTATACATTACATTGAGGAGTGTTATAGGACGGTAGTTTTTTATATCTGCTTTATCCCCTTTCTTGTGTAGGATAATGGTTACTGATTCCTTCCAGTTGTTTGGGATTCTTTTTTCTTTTAATATCCTGTTAAAAAGGGAATGTAGAGTATTAATTACCACTTTTCCACCATATTTCAGCATCTCTGTAGTTACTCCATCTTTTCCAGGCGATTTGTTGTTTTTCATTTCTTTCAATGCCTTCTTTATTTCTGATTTGCTTATTTCGGGCTGCAGCTCTGAGTTGACATTTTTTATTTTGACCTTAAGTTGGTTTTTAATTTCTTCTGGTGGTTCCTTTTTTGTTTTATATAATTCTGAGTAGAAATGGTGGATTATATTTATGATGTCATCTTTAACGTTTGTTTCTATTCCATTTACATCTTTTATTTTGTTAATTTCAAACTTACCTAATTTCGGCCTTAAGCATTTCATATTTTTGTTGTTTTGTATTACTTCTTCTATTTTTATTTCTTGTTCTTTTCTCTTACTTTCTTTTATCATTCTGCTTATTGTTTTATTAATTTCTACATATTCTATAGATTTCCTTTTGCCTTCTTCGTTCAGCTTCCTTCTTTTATCCATAAGCTTCTTTGTTTCTGTTGATATATAGTTGTTCTTTTTTAGATCCTTCTTTGCTATTTCTTTTCCTGATGTAATCATTGTTGCTGTAAGTATGTTGTCTATTTCGTCTATATCTTTATCGTCACTGTCTAATCTTTGGGTAAGTTGTTCTTTTAATAGGTCTTTGTATATCTCTTTATATTGACCTAGTTTGTTTCTATCTACTAGATTCCAGTTTCTACTTATTTTTCTTTTCATCTCATAGTTACCGTCAATACTAATTTTTGCTCTGACCATCCTGTGATCGCTACCTGTTGTGAATCTGTTAAGAACTGTTACATCTTTAATGATATATCGTTCCGTGGACAGTATGTAGTCGATCTCATTTTTTGTGGATCCATTAGGGCTGATCCATGTCCACTTTCGTTGGGGCTTCTTTTTGTAAAAGGAGTTCATTGCGTATAGATGCTTTTCTTCTAGGTAGTTCATCAAAGTATCACCTCTATCATTTCTCTGGCCATACCCGAAATCTCCTATTTTAGTTTCTTCTTTGTTTAGTTTTTTACCCAGTTTGGCATTGAAATCTCCAATTACTAGTGTAAGATGATTTTTATGTTCTTCCATAGCCTTTGATATATCTTCATAAAATAGTTCGATATTTTCTTTTTAAGTATGACATAGGCGACACGATCTGATATACCTTTGATAATTTGGACGTGCTTACTTATAGCTTTATTTATTATACCGAATGAAATTATAACACTAGCAGAACAACAAGGTTTTAGGTCGAGAAGATCATCCACCGGCGCTATATTTATAATGATTTAAGTAAAAGATAAATCGTTAGAATACAACAAACTCACATATTTATATCATGAATGTGTTGCTTGTGTGAGTCCATTTTAAATAGGTAAAGAAATAATAAATAAGACTTACTCACAATCAATTTAATTTAACTATCAGACGACCGGTTTCGCTTTCTACAATATGCAAAGCATCTTCAGGTCTCGATACAAAGTTAAACAAATGATGCCGGTACTCTATTAATAGAGTACCGGCATCATTTGTTTAACTTTGTATCGAGACCTGAAGATGCTTTGCATATTGTAGAAAGCGAAACCGGTCGTCTGATAGTTAAATTAAATTGATTGTGAGTAAGTCTTATTTATTATTTCTTTACCTATTTAACATATTTATGTTTTGTAAACCTTAAGAAGGCATTTGACAGGGTCCACTTAAAGGTAGTTATCAACTTACTGTATGCAAGAGAGATGCATCCAGAAATAATCAAAACGAATAAAAATATCTACCAGAAAAACACAATAAAAGTAAAAGAAAAAAATTTACTGACCTAATTTAAGCTAGCAATAGGATAAAAAGGGGATTCACTCAGTATTCTATTGTTAAACCTGATCATGAATAAAATCATAAAAAAGAAAGAACTTAAAAATACCAAATAACTTGGAATAATCTGCTATGCAGAGGATGCAGATGCAATAATAATCTCTTAAAACAAAGAGAATTTACAACATAGAATGACACAGTTTTAATTGCAAAAAGTTTAAAGTGCTTGCAGCGTTTACTTAACAAAATATCAGCTGAAGGAGATCTATTGGGCTTAAAGATTCGGAAACACCAAAAAAACAAAAGTATTTTTGCTAAATCGGAATGCAAAGCAATTAGTATATGGAATAGAAATAAATAAAGTATTTAGATTCAAGAACCTAGGCAGCTGGATTGATGGGAATATTAATGCCGGAATAGCCAGTGCAAACTTTTTAAAATGCGTAGCCTCCGAAGCCATTGATCGCTCGATATTCAAAAATAAGATATAATTTGTGCTATGTGTATTCCGCACTTTTCTGCAAGGTTCAAACTTTTACGCTAAAAGTTAGCAGCCTAAATATAATAGGATCATTCGAAATGTAGGTATATCGAGGAATGTTGCGAATAACTTGGACTGCCTATACCAACAACTTAGAAGTTTGGCATTGAATGGGCACAGAACGTAAGTGGATGGAAAATTTTAAAAAACGGAAAATGGATTTTCTTGGCCATTTAACAAGACATAATAAATATCATTTCGTTCGGTTTATAATAAAGTGTAAGATGAAATGTATAAGTGGACCAGGTATCAGAAAGCATTCTTAGCTTAATAATATTATAGATTAAATAAGCTTGAGCTTAAATGATGTGTTGACTAAGACTTAAGACATACACAGAAATAGTTGCTAAAATTGTTGCTGATGTCGGTAGGAGAATTTACTGGAAAAAGATTACCTTTGTGTCTTTCTTATCACCTGTAATATTATTTGGAATACGGTGCCGTTTTCGATTCTTAATAATAAAAACGAGCTAAAATATCGACTCACCTACTGTTGAGAAATATTAATATATCCAGTCCGCGTTTATATACATTTACTTATACAAATAAGTGTGTGTTTTTTAATGTGGGTTTAACCCTGTTCATTGTAAGTTCAATAATTTTAAATATTTCGTATGACTCATCTTTAAATTATTATACTGTGCCTTTTTTCCATTTAATGCTTAAGAGTTAAAACCTTACTACACACTTTTTTTTCATTATTTTTCGTCAATTTTTTTCAACATTCAACAAGCTTTCCAAATATTCTCCTTCTTTCAGTACCCTATCTGATTATCGAACGTTGGCGATCATATTGGCAATAATAACTTTATTTACGGCGGCTCTAAATAGATTAGCGGTCATTTAGTGATACCATTCTCGGAGATTTCGGAGCCAGGATGTTCTTCGTCGGCCTGGGCGTGTCCTTCCGGCGATCTTACCCTGTATTATGAGGTGTAGAAGGTTATACTTCTCTGGATGTCTCATTAGATGACCGAAATATTGTAATTTTCTAATTTTTTTCGTTTTTGTTATTTCAGTGCTCTTTTTCATTCGATTTCGATATTTCGATATTTCTATTTATTTCCAAATATTGACTGTTTGCAATATATCAGAATTTCCTTACTGATATTTAGTTTTTACTACAATTTTTAACTATTTTTCCTTTTTTATGCTGCCAATCATAAGAGCTTTTTTTATTTTATTTTAATCTTTTTAAGAATATATTTCATTATATACCTCTGTATCTTCATAATGTATTGTAATGTGTATCTAGAAGTTCATACAATCTATTAATTTTTATATTATAAACAGTTTTTTACCGTGTCTTATTTTCCTCAATGTTTTTATGGCATTTTAATTTTTGTCACATTTAAAAAACAAAGGAAAGTAACGTATTTATTAACTCCTTAAATGAAATATGTTTTTAGATTTTGGATACAGGGGATGACTTTTACAAACAATCAGTACAGACATTATCAGAAAAAGAACAATTTAACAATAGGATGTTAATGCTAACGGAAATAAACAAAAATTTTAAATGGAAAGATAAAATGGTAGATTTTGACGTTGAAGAATGCGTTTCTAATGGCTTGTTTAATTGCAAAGATACAAACTTTAATAAGGTAAAAAAAACTGTTAATTTTCATTGTTATTTATGTACTTAACATTAATTAATTCAATAAAATCTGAAAATACATAGTAATAAGATTGATAAACTTAAAATTAAATCTCAAAAATATACTTGTCAATGATATTGGCGACGTGCAAGTACTTGGATGTGATACGACAAACGATCGTGCGCGAATAGCGGAGAAATCTTGCATTTTTTATCATGGTGTGTATCAAGGTGATCTATACCCTAAATGAAATAACACATTTGAAACAGAATGTGGAAAAACATAACTCCAATGATGAATATGACACACGAATTCCATGAAGCTTGCAAATCTTTACCATTCAAATTTTATTTTGACAACCTATTTACGGGTTTTAATATTTTATTTTATTTAAAACAACTAGGATACGATAGAACAGGGACAATTCGGGAAAACCGCATACCCAAATCTTGCCCATTACCACAAAATAAATATATTTTGAAACTGGGTGAAACTGTTTTAAAACAAACTGTGAAAGGTGGCTATAGTTCAATACTAAACAAGGATGATGGCATAATTATCGTTAAATGGGTAAATAACAATGTTTATTGTTAACAAAAACTTATTTAAATCAGTCGTTCATCAATTTCAACTGAATATAACATATATTGTAGTGGTAGTCAATCTTCACATGGTTGTTGGAGTTTTCTATGGTAATTGCATGGAACGTTCACAGGAAGACGGAATCTATATCTCAACTAGATTTTAGGAATCAAGCAGTACAATCATATTTATTTTTCGAAATATGGGGCTCCTCCTAAAGGCGCCATCAAGATCACGGAAAACCATCAATATCACTTCCAGTGTGGCATTTAACAGAGTGTCACATAATCTAAGATATAATGGTCGTAGACATTTACTTTAGCGTAATGAAAATAACAAAAGAAGAATATGTGCCGGGGAAGGGTGTTCATCTAATGTACTTATAAAATATTTGAAATGGGCTATCTATAATGTATATACAGTAAAACCTCCCTTAACCGAAACATTTTTAACCGAATCATCGTTTAACCGAAGCGGCTGACACTTTCAATAATTTCGTCAATAAAAAGTAAATTTTTATCGCAAAATGAAAATTCCATCAATTTCACTCACCCATTGATGCGTATGTGTGTTGGGAAATCAAAAACCAAGAGCTCTAAAAGATTTTTGGGAAAAAGCACTTCCAGTTTTTTATAGAAGCCAAAAAAGCTCATGGTCGACCACTTTATTTTCAGAATGGTTTGAAAATGAATTCGTTTCAAGCGTAAAATCCTTTTTAAAATAAAAAAACCTTCCCATCAAAGCATTGTTGCTTGTTGTCTCTTAATCTATATAATAGTAATAATTGTCAGATTTTTGCCACCGAATGTCACGAGCTTAATTCAGCTGTTAGACCAGGGACTAATAAAGACATTCGAGAGACATTATAGAGGAGCATTCTTAAGACATCTGTTATTACAGGAGACAAATGAATCCAAAAGTGTTCCTGAAATCCTCAAATGTTCAACAATGAAACATGTTGTTTATCGGTGTGCTGAGTTCTGGACCAAGATCAAATCTTCAACTTTGGAAAAATGCTGGAACTAACTTTTTGATAGGATTTTGATTGACGATGCTGAAGAAGAAAATGACAAAGAAACGACAGAAGAAATTAAATCTTTAATAGAAAATTTGCCGGGATGTGACGAAATTAAATAAGAATAGATACGTGAGTGGTTAGTAGCCGATGATTTAGTGAATTCATCGACCAGGACATCATTGATATGATTCCTCATCCAGACAACCTGAGCGTATCAGACGACGAAGATGACGACCCAACAGACAACAGGCAGCATGAGACCGCTGACGAGATTTTCAATGCTTTAAGGAGAAGAATTTTATATAGTAGGCTTAATATGTTAGGGAAACGACTAGGTTCTTAATTTTTGTTATCATTGTATAAAGTTTTGTCCTTTTCAGATTGCTTTACGTTTCGTCGAACGATGAAATGAGGCAAACTCACAACGTTCTGCAAATGAACGATGGAGATATATAGCTGCAAAACATCGTTGTCAAACTATAACGTAAAAGAAAATGAAAAATTTCTTTTAAAAAACTTGTTAAACTTGTTCATTTTCCTTAATTGTATTACTTATTAGAAAACATTACAAAATCACCTCATAGTATTATTTAATAACAATACTTTAACCGAGAATGCTATAAAAAACAATGTTATTTTTAACCGAAATTCTTGTTATCCGAAACGGCCTCCCCCCATTATTTCGGCTAACGGAGGTTTAACTGTATTCCACATGAGTGAAATATTCCACACCAAAGAATTTTGTATTACAAACTAGGCTAGCGTTACCGTATGGTAACAGTTCAATTTTGCTTAATAAATTTTTATCATATTTTTTTAATTTTCCGAAAATATGTATTCTTAATACATCGTTGAACATTCTCCTTTCGCTAGAATAAAAAAAAAACAAATTTCGCCGTTAAGGGTTAAATAGAAAATAGCAAATTATCAAGAATTAGAAAATAGATAAAATGAATATTATAATTATTAAATAAATTAGGTAAATTATATTAAATCTACTCATAGCATGTATGCCGACTTAAAACGTTAAAAGAAACACGTGGGTTGGAGGATATGTAAAAAAACAAGTCAAATATGAAGTTATAAAATGGCGGATATGTAAAAAAAAATTAATCAACTAGAAATGTACTCGTCCCAGGAAAAGGTTTAACATATAAATGAATTTTGAGAACTGAAAATCCAGCTTAAATAGAAAAAAGACATTATGAAAAATATTCCACTTCTACAGAATTGAATTTTTAAAAATAATATACTTTATATATTTTGAAAATAATTCACAGCAGAATTGTTAAAACTCTTGAATATGAGATTAGTGACACACAATTTGGCTTTAGAAATGGTATGAGTACAAGAGATGCTTTGTTCGGCTTGAATGTGCTGGCTCAGAGATGCATGGACATGAATCAGGATATGTACTTATGTTTTTGTAGACTTTGAAAAGGCATTTGATAAATTTCAACATAAAAAGCTTGTAGATATATTAAAAAGCAAAAATACTGACAGTCGTGATCTGAAAATTATATCTAATTTATATTGTATTCAAACTGCAAAGATAAGAGTTGACAGTACACCGAAAATATCAAAATACAGAGAGGAGTCCGCCAGGGTTGCGTGCTGTCCCCACTACTTTTCAATGTCTACAGCGAAGCGGTATTTCAAGAAGCGCTCTTAAACTCAATAGAAGGTATATCAATGGAGAAGTTTTGAATAACTTACGTTTTGAAGACGATACAGTAATAATTACGGATAACAACAATGATTTACAGAACGTAATGCAACGCCTTAATGAACGCTGTCATGAGTACGGACTGAGGATAAATTTAAAGAAAACTAAATGCATGATCATGACTAAATCTGCACATGCAAATATCCAATTGACTATTAAAGATACTGCAATTGAGAGTGTTAATAACTATAAATACTTAGGAACATGAATAACATCAGATGTAGATCAAACCAAAGAAATTAAGACACGTATTGAAATAGCACGTACATCATTTATTAAACTTAAAAAGTTTCTTTGTTGTCGGGATATAAGGTTAGAACTAGGCTTGAGAATGCTTCGATGTTACGTGTTCTCTACTCTTCTTTATGGTTTGGAAGCTTGGACACTAAAACAAGTTCATCTGAATAAGTTGGCCGCCTTTGAATTTTGGTGTTACAGAAGAATCCTACGAATATCATGGATTCAAAGAATGTCAAACATGGAAGTAACTAGAAGGATAGGAAATGAGGCGGAAATAATATTAACTATTAAAAGACGAAAACTTGAGTACTTGGGACATGTGATGAGAGGGCAAAAATACGCATTATTACAACTTATTATGCAGGGCAAAATCCGAGGAAAGCGAAATGTGTGAAGACGAAGAATATCCTGGCTTAAGAACTTAAGGGAATGGTTTGAATGCAGTAGGGCAGAACTTTTTAGAGCGGCAGTCAACAGAGTCCGCATAGCCATGATGATTTTTAACCTTCGATAGGAGATGGAACTTAAAGAAGAAGAAGACAGAATTGAAATAACATCGACTGAGGAGTTTGAATATAGCAATTATTATAATATAAAGTAAAAATTAAAATTGAAATTTAGATTATGCCAGAACATTTAGTAAAAGAGAATTGAGCGCCATCTATTTTTCAAATAAAAATAGTAAAATAAAGATATTAGATGAGTAAAATAAATTAAAAAATAAAAAATAAAATAATTATTTAAAGAAAAATAACAAAGTTTTCCATTATCCTCCAATATCATTTGTAACCCATTATTATATATTATATTATTGTAATTAAAATTGACATTAAAATCTTAATTAATTTTTACTTATAACATTGTCTAAACGTTAATTACTTCAAGTATGCTATTCCCCTACTATCGAAAGATCACATTCAAATATGAAAACCAAAACACAGCGCAAACTTTGATTTTTTCGTGTATGAGTAACAAGTTTAAATATTTTAGGCAATTAACAACTATTTCAACAATTTTGATTCTGGAATAATAACCTGTCGTTCTATGTCTGTTGTTCTTTGGAAATCAGAAGACAAATTTTATTATTTTGACAGCCATAATAGGAATGAAAAAGGATTAGCAACACGTAAGTACAATTCTCTTACTTAAAAAAGCTCAAATGCTTCTTACATAATTTCTACGGTTCGGTGAAAATCATAAAACTAAGTTGATTAGGTCATATCGTTGTAAGTTTAAAAAATATGTTATTAAGTATCGAACTTATCGGGTTTTAGAGGTTTTGTCATATTTACTTTTCATTCGTTACGTCATGTGTGTGAGGATGATTACGCTTTCCGGGTTTTTTTAATATTAATGTATCTCATAAGGTACATCATTTAAAATTCCTTGACTCAAAAACAAGTTGTTCCTTCTTATTATTGATCTGATTAGTTTGGGTTATTTAAAGATGAAAAATATTGTATTTTTGTTATAATATGCTTACTTTAAGCGTAAAATGTATATAAACAATTAAAAATTCCAAAAAAAAGCCATTTTTCCAGGCCATTTTTCAATAGGTTGAATATCGAACTTAAAAAACAAAAAAATCTAAGATAAAAGCTATAGTCAAGTAGTTTCAAAATGTGCAAATCTATTTTGATTTAATATTTCACAAGTCAATTTAAAAAATCCATAACCAAATTGATATGCCGTTGCGTTTCGGAATATATAGCCTTATAAGATAAAAAGCTTTGGTGAAATAGTATTACCTTGGCTAATACCTTTACCAAGACGCATTTTTTCAGTTTTTTCATCTTCAATGATTTTTATGTGGAATGTGGCCTATTCACAAAGGTTTTTAATAAGTGTAGTGTAGCGTGAGTCTATTCGAGCATCCCTCAGGGCTGACAAAAAGAACCAATTTTCAATACTATCGAAAGCCTTCTGAAAGTCAATAAACGCCATATATAGAGGTACATTATATTCTGTGGTTTTGTAAGTTATCGTTAGTACCAAACCCTTCTCCAAATCCCGTTGGTTCAACCGGTTGATATTAATCAAGTTTTTGTGTTATGCGGTTGGTTATTATTCCTGTTAGCAATTTGTGTAAGTGTGACAACACACTTATAGGTCTGTAGTTTTTAATATTATTAGTGTCTCGTCTCTTGTGTAAAAGTATTATTCCGGCATTTTCCGACAGACTGGCTATTCTTTTTCTATTAGACACTTATTTAACAAAACTTCCACAACCTGTACAACGATGTTGCCCGTATTGGTACAAAGTATTGGTACAAAGTGTGCCCTGATTTTAGTAGAGTCGTTTCTTCGCCTTTAAGCCTTGTCTCGCATAAGCTACTATGTCCCATTTTATGGTCTTAAGTTATTCTTGCAACTCTTCTACATTATCTTCTGTCCTCATCGTTATGATGTTATATTGTTATATGGGAAGAAAACTACATTCCTGTCTTATAAAAACAGAAAACTTGTATGAGGTCAAAGATTATATCCATTTTGTAATTACATGAATAAAGAAAGCCTTAGAAGATTTGATTAAGACAGCAACTGAAGAACTTACATGCTTCTAACCGTATAGCACAACAAGAAAGATGAAGAATGGGAAAGGCTGTGACAAAACAAAGAAATTAATCTATTGGGTATCATTCTTAGGTCGAGTTTTAGTGATGCTAAGCTCAGAAACTTTTTTTTCTTTTCTGAGGGTATAACCCATTCCTAGGGATGGCTGGCGTGTGTTGGATTTAGGGTAGAGGAGTACATCCGAACCTATTTCCCCTTAGGAGCTCAGGAACCTGCTTACACCTTTCATTTGAGATTTGACCTACTACTACCTACTGACTATAAATCGACATCGCTATTGATGGTAATCCCTTTAGCCTTTGGCACAAAATTAGTTCTTTTAATTAGCCTGGTTTGATCTGCTACTATCTGATCAGATACCTGAATATAGTAAAAAAAAATTTTTTTATTTCGTCATTTATCAATTATCATTTAATTAACAAAAATAAATGTAATATATTTTCGTAACAGTTAAAGTTTATTATAGCCTATGGTACGGCCTGCATTTTAAGAGCATCTCAATTAGATAGTTTAATTGAAGTTTTACTAGCAAATTTTGCACCTACTCCAGAAAACTTTTACAATATACATAATGTCAAGGTGACTTTCTCTGAAATGGATGACGATGAACTGATACGTCCCGTTATGGAGTTCTATAAGAGACTTGGAGCAAACAAATTAATACTGAGATCGCTTTACAGTGAAATTTCTAATAAATACGATTTAAATGTTGGCAAACAAACTGTACCTATGTGCGTAATGGCGATAGGTTTTAACAGGCTGAAACCCTCCATAGAATGGAATCAACAGGTAAATATTGTATGATAGCTGTATATAAACATTATCTAAAAGTTTTATTATCTTTAACTGACATATTTTGTGATATGATGTATTTTTCAGTAATTAACATTCCTCGTTTATAATCACTAAAGGGTTAACTTTAGTTTTCTTCTTCTTTTTCTTTATAAACAATTCTACTTGTTTATTGTCAAATTGATAAGTCTATGGAACATTTTCACTCCATCTTTTGCCATTTTGACCACACCGATCTCTCTTATTCCGCTTGTGAGGTTATTCCATTCCTTTTCTCTGTTTAGTGTCCACGCGTGATTAAACGGAAACAGAGAAATATGTCCTCGTTTATTCAAAAATTGACCTGTTGTTGAGTTTTTCGGTTTTTCAAAAATGTCATAAAATGTGATAATGTATCTGTTTTGTCCGGCCACCCGGTATATATGTATATATATATATATATATATATATATATATATATATATATATATAGGTATATATATTATTGTGATATTTAAAGTCTTGGTGCGCCAAGCAATTAATTAGCTAATTAATTAATTAATTAATTAAATTATTTAAATGATATGATTATGATTCTATCACAATTTTTAATTCTCTTATCTCAGGGTTCTATTCGTGCTTCAATATCTATGCTATTACATGTGAAAGGTAAGGTCCAAAGAATACCGGAATAATAAAAAACATATAGGATCTAACATTATATATTGAAATAAAATAATGAAATAAAATTCACACTCAAAAATTTTCAATAAACAAAATCTCATATAATGATTCTCAAAATTTTGTTCTACGTACGTGAACCTTCAAAATTAATGGTACAAACAATATTAGTTGAAATCTCAAAATCCCAAATATTATTCTAAATCTCCTAATCAAAATATTTATATCCTTTCTAAATTAAGTGTAAAAATTGTGTTATCAATAAAAGAAAAACTGCAGAAAACAAAACTATCTCTCTCTGATGATGAGTGGTCCAAATCCTTGTTCCTTGTAGACTATATTATCTACTCTCAGCCGCTCCCTAGGTAATCAGCAATCTTACAACAAATTATTGCAAGTTTATCGTCCTTAATGATCTCCTTCAAATGCACGAATCGTTCAAATTATGCTAGCTTCTTCTTCTCTCAATAAACTGAATCTCTCGTTGGCCTGAGTGAAAAATGACTCTTGGAATATCTTTTCTTTACGATAAACTGAATCTCTCGTTGGCCTGAACAGTGACTCTTGGAATATAAGTAGAAAATATAACTTACAATCTTTTACTGGATCAGCTTCTGTCAGATACACTAACTACACGAAAACTCACAAACTTTCACTGCTACTGCTTCCTACCTCTGGGAAACTACCCGAGAACAACGGCCGTTCGCCTTCTACCCTTGGAAACCAACTGACTATCTTTTTTTCTTTAAAAACTAACTAAAGTCTCATTCTCAAACCAAACCTTCCACCTTTTCCCATCTCATCCAATCAAAACGCGTCATACATCTCCCATTTCTTCATTCCGATAACACACAAATTTTTACCTACAATTATAAAATTTCCTAAAACTTGTTTACAAAAATATTTTCCTACCAATTCTTAAAAACTAACAAAAACATATCTTTCTATTGTCTATGGATTTCACTTCAGCTTATTCACGCCATACAAATATATTTTAACAAAGAAAATAATTTATGCATATCTTACGTTTTGTTAAATACAGGTAATCCAAAATTAAAAGACTTTTATTCTTCGAAATGTTTGTAGTTTATTGTTTGACTTATCTGAATTATTTTAATGTTTTTGAACTTTGAAATATTTTAAGCAAACCAATATTTTTCTCGATTTTACATATCATACATATCATAACTATATATATATATATATATATATATATATATATATATATATATATATATATATATATAGGCTTTCTGTAGTTTTCCGGGTTTGATTTTGATAAAAACCATTATTTTGACGACGTTTCGGCAAGGTCTTACTTGCCATTGTCAAGTCAGGTAGTAGCGCTTTTCACTGATGCTTGAAGTTAACTTAGTTTAGTTTGAGTTAGTTGTATAGTTAGTAGTGATTGAGTATAGATTGAGTTTGAAGCTGTGACTTCTACATGAGATTTAGTTATTTTTTTTTTATTTAATCTTTGCATTATCTATTGTGTAGTTTAGCTCCAAAATACTTTAGTTACCATTGTTTCCTCTGTACATGGTTTTTGAACAGGTATTAAAGTTATATTGTCAGAAAAATCTAATGATTTACTTTATGATTAACATTACTTATCATGAATACGAAGTTGCCTAGTTTTTGTTATTTTTTGAAAGGATAATATGTAATAGTAAATGATAATTAATTTTTCTATGTCCAATTTTATGTTTTTGTACTTCTTATCTATTTAAATGTGTTTCATTTTCAAAACTTACCGTTTATGTTCATTTATTTCCTTCTGTAAAACGTTTGCTTTGGAGAAATTAAAGTCAAGCTTAACCCTCCGTTACTCGCGCCTATTTCAGGAACGTGTCAACTCGCGGGGTGTCTGCAGCACCCCATTATTTTATCTTACTTTTTGTTTAAAGTAATAAAATCCAAACTATTTTTATATTTCAGGTATATAATGTTAAAAGTTTGTCACAAAATAAAACTATTTATTTCAGCAAACATTGCAATCTAGATGTGTAGTCGCTGAATTTTATAAACAAAGATTTTAGGAATAAAATTGCAACAACTGAGCAAAAATAAAAAATAAATAAAGTAAAAAAGGTGAAAGCAAAAATTTTTTATTATATATAAAGAACTGAAGCTATTTTCTTGTGGCATTGTAAATTAATTATTATTTATAACTGGGAATAAGCCACAATTAAAGATAAAAATACGTTTATTGACGTTTCAATTTCCAATTCGGAAATCGTTCTCAAAATACAAACATTAAATTAAACAAATTTTGTTTTTTGTTACATAGTGAAAAAATTCTTCTAATAATTTAATTTTATCTGACTCATTTATATTGACAATTCAGACATACATTATGCATTTTAAAGTAGACGACTTTAAAATGATATTGAAAGAGGAAGTTATTAATAAGAAAATACCAGTATTAGTAAGTCAGTAACATATAGAGGATACATCATTTATGTTTTTAAATTACGTAACATATAAAATCAGAATTTTTGATGTTTGTTGAAGGTAAACTAAATTCACGAACAAATACTTACAATGTCGGGATAGTATTATGAGGTTTTTTTTCCTGGTTTTTCCCTCATAATTTACTATGGAATCACTAACAGGAGAATTTTACTGTCATCATGTCATGTGTTTGTCTTTTTAAAGACGAATTAGATGCTATGATTTTTTCTGACGGATATTCTCAAGTTAAAGTTGATTTCATGTAATCGAATGAACTATCTTATAAGTAAAGTCGTCCCAGGAGCGCAACTCAACAATATTGGCAATATCATTTTAAAGTCGTCTACTTTAAAATGCATAATGTATGTCTGAATTGTCAATATAAATGAGTCAGATAAAATTAAATTATTAGAAGAATTTTTTCACTATGTAACAAAAAACAAAATTTGTTTAATTTAATGTTTGTATTTTGAGAACGATTTCCGAATTGGAAATTGAAACGTCAATAAACGTATTTTTATCTTTAATTGTGGTTTATTCCCAGTTATAAATAATAATTAATATAAAGAACAATAAACAAACTTAGAATAAATTTACTGGCCTCGGTAGCATGCATCACATATTGTGTTCATATGGCTTAGGCACATATTTTTATTGCAATTTTTGCAACCACTCTTACATTTAATGTCTTTTGCTCGTATACATATAGTGCATCTTGCCTTTTTTATAGGTACATTATCATTGTATTACCTAGGACTCTTTTCAAAGAGTTTGGAATAGATTGTATTTGTGACCTAGATTCCATCTGTGGTTGTACCAGAGTAAATCCAATCTCTTCTAGAAACTTCGATCTGGGAATTTTTTTAGTAGGATTATTAGAGAAATAAACGATGTGGGAATTAATTGCAGCTGTATTTAACAAATGATAAAATATCCTCAAGGGCCAACGACGACAAGTTCTTGATACATTATATGTCTGGCATTTTTGGTCTACACTATCAACCCCACTCTTGGTTTTATTATAAAATAATATTATGTCAGGCTTATTCACATTTGGAGAAACTTCAACTACAGTATTGTCATTTATGTGCATAGTTGATAATAAAATTACATTTTTATTTTGCTTTGGGCAATATGAAACAAGAGTCATTGGTATTTTTTGATGGAATCCGAATAGAAATTGCCCAGGAACCTTATTAGTGACAAAGCATGGTGGTATCTCTTTTTTGTTTTTTCTGATTGTACCCACTAACGATAATTTATGAGACAGTAATGTTTCTGCTAATGGTATGCTGGTATACCAGTTGTCCGTTGTGATGTTTCTTCCTGAACCGAAGAGTGTACGACACAAACGCTGCACAATATCAATGGGCTTATAGCTAACTTGGAAAGGACCATCTGGCTGCTTTCCAATATAAGGTTCAAATTGTAAAGTATAAAATGTCTTGGAATCACATATAGCGAAAAATTTAAGACCATATCGTGCCGGCTTGTTTGGTAGATACTGTCGAAAAGAGCATCTACCCCTAAAATTTAAAAGTTGTTCATCAATGGTGGCGAATTCGCTAAGCGAATAATTTGCGAGGCAATTATTATTGAACTGATTATAAATACTTCTAATGGGAGCAAACTTGTCCAGCAATATTCTTTCTTCGCGGGTGTTTATATTGTCAAACCTTAGACATTTTATGAGAAAGTAAAAACGGTTGTAACTCATAGTTTTGTAAAACGTTTGAATTCCAAGCCTTGAAATATCCCACAAATCTTTGATATTCCTATGGCTCGATTTACAAATGCCAGATAATATTAGTAATCCAACTAAAGCACGAATTTCTGTCTCATTGGTTTCTTTGCAGTCCCTCTTACGTTTGTAATTGGCCGAA